CAATTGCGTGAAGTGGAAAATAAAAGCAGCAATTTATCTAAAATCGAAGCTGTTCTTGCCCGTACTAAGAAATTCGCAACTACCATTACTACCGTTATACTAGTTCCATCAGATGTAATCATCCATGAGACCATCCATTAGATGTAACAAAGACTTAGATTTTGTCGCTAATATATACCAAAAAAAATGAATTGTTTAGCGTATTCTAAATTAATTTAAATGTGAAGTTTGTTTTATGGCACTGATGCTTTCACGATTAGTTCTATCTACCTTGATAAGAAAGCACGTGAAAATATGTTAATATCTGCGACCGTACGATCATTTCCTTTGGCACAATAAGGTGATATCTAAAAAATGTTCATTCTAGGCGCAACGAAAGGAAATCCGCAACTGGGATATACATTGGCAGATACACAAAACCATCACATTGCTGGTCAAAGTTCAATAGGTCAACAAGACCACTCAACTGATGACTATCTCCTTGAAAACTTTGATGTCGGCAGTCCCGATATTAATATTCTCGATTACTGCGATTTTGCAGCATTAGGCCCAGATATAGACACATTACTCAGCGAATGGGATCTTAGCCAATTTGATCTTTAATAATTTGATCGTAGATTTTTGTAAGAAGTGAAATGGAAAAACTGTTGAAGAAATGAATTCAAACGTCTTCGTACGCCTAACCAATTAATAGTAATCAGAAATTTCATGAAATACTAATTACAATCTATGTTTTCTAAATAACTGAAATAATTCACCTATCACTAATACATTTCGATCGTTACTCATTCATGTATTCCACCACGTAAACTCCAAAATATGTTATCATCACATATCGTGTCATTTGTGAATAATATAACATTTGCCACACATAGCTAAAAGAGGTTTGACTAGAGGAACAACCAGGACATCTAATTACAAAATTAGAAAATGTTCAACTTCTTTTTGTAATCATTCATTTTGTTGTACTGAAATATCAAATATACTAATTAAGTAAACTAAGTAACAGTTTTACGAGTTTTAGGAGTTATCACCTTTTTTATGTTTTTACTGCTTTGGTTCTTATTCAAATGATAAATTATATATAGGAAACAGCAGAACATATTTTTCTTGACAGTGAGTGATGGAACTTTCAAAAACAATTTGGATATTGATAGTTATATTAGTCCAATATATATATATATATATATATATTCTACTTCTCACTTCAAAATGTCGCTGTAGTTCATGTTACTCCATCTTATAAATTATGATGTGCAGAGATGTTACAATAAGTAAAGGTTGCAAGACATAACTATTAGCTATGTCATAATAAAATGTTTGAAAACGACCACTCACAAGAAGAAACATGAGTGAAAATAAAATGTTTTTTTGCGGATCTGGCCACAGTAGCCTTTGTGTAGGAAACGCGACCAAATGAAGAAGCAAAGCAAGAATTGCAAAAACAATGAGGAAGCAAACATAAGCCCGAAAACAGTGGCGGCCATGGTTGCGGATGATAGCATTCGGGATACGTATATGATGTGTAAAGAAGTAAGGTTAATCAATCCAGATGAACAAGAAAAACATAGAAGGCGATACAGGAAGTGATTGTAATTATGTTACAGAATCAGTGGTAAGCAAATTGAATTTTAAGCATACATCACCGAGTGTGAGAATGTTAACAGGAATGGTGGGCATAAGGAAATATGAAAGTCGAAGGATAACCTTCGGAGTTCAAACGCTGTTCGGGAATGTGAAGAATATCCAAGCGTATATTGTCGATTCAATACTCGAACGGGGATACCGTGTGTAACAAACAATAAAAGTACAAAGCTCCTTAACAACGGAGAATTGATAACTTTTAGTCATCGAACTTGAAGCGATTATCAACGAAAGATCCTTGGTAGATGTCGTGAAAACGAAACCTCAAATAAATTCATTCACATTGTAAATTAATGCTAATGATACTATGAATCACTCTTAACATATTTACATTCCTTAAAATTGTTTCCACACTTTTTTGTTGTTATCTTATCTAACCAATTTGCATTTTTATGTTTAAACCCTTAATTTCCCATGTCAATCATTCTGTTTAATCTTGTTATAATGCTTGTACCATATCCGGTGTGTTTCCGATACTTGAATTCTTCATGTAAACCACTCCTATTTCTTAACATTTATAATCTCGGTCCCAAATCCGGGGCAGGCTTTT